CAGACTTCCGGAAGGCCCGGAAGTCTGGAAACAGGCCTGTTTCTGGCTTCCAGAGGGCCTCCAGAGATTGGGGGAGACCGTTTTTGCCCTCTTAGAGCCGGAAGGCCCGTTTTTTCCCTCTCCCAGAGCCTCCGCGTGGACACTGCACTTACCTGCATCAAAAATGGGCTGTGTGGAGACTCCTGGGAGAGGTGGGGCGGGGTGGCTGGGGCCAGCTGGTCGGTTCAAATACCGGTTCGGTGAACCAGATGCAAATTTAACATCCGGTTCGCCTGGTAGAATCCCACCCCTGCTAGGAGTTATATCTCTCTCGTAAGGAAGGGTTTCCCATTGAGGTTAATACAGGTAGTCCTCAACTTACAACAGGTCTCTTAGTGACTGTTCAAAGTTACAGTGGCACTGAAAAAAGGTGACTTATGACCATTCTTCACACTTAGGACCGTAGCAGCATCCCCATGGTCACATGATTTACATTTGGATGCTTGACAACTGACTCATATTTATGATGGTTGCAGTGTACCGTGTTACTAATTTAACAACTGCAGTGATTCCACTTAACAAATGTGCCAAGAAAAGTCATACAACTAACAAATTTCTCAGCAACATCAATTTGGGCTCAATTGTGGTTGTACGTTGAGTACTACCTGTAGTTGGCACAAATCTGTTGCAAGAGACAAACAGATACAAAGGGACAGATGAGGCACTCCCAGTTATATGGCTGTTCAGTGACCAGGACAGCCTAAGGGGAGTCTTTTCAATGTCTGATGCTAAATCGACCCCTGAAATACACCCTCTCCTCAGTTAGTTTTAACATAGTCAAGGAATGTTTTATTGCATGGTAAAACACACCCATGGTTTTATGTTCTTGTCCACCGCTTTGCACTTGACATCTCCTCTTGCTGGACATTTCTCCCAATGTGGCCTTTAATCCCTGTTGCATGCTTTTTAGCCAGTTCTTAATTTGTAGAATGCTTGTTTGCCTTTATTTGCTGCCAAATGCTGCTTATTTGTTTTTTTTATTTTCCTTCATTAAAATACTTTCTGTTTTCTCTTCTATTGCCCTGGTTGCTGATTCTCCTCCCCACTTTTACTATTGTCT